CAACTCAATTCACCCCTCACCCAAATAAGAGAAACTGAGAAATTAGTCCACGATCAGTAGAATATGGTGAAGAACACTTTATTAGTTTTTTATCTTAAAATTATAAATTAATTTATATACCTCAATTATTTGTAAATAAATAATTATCTTATCACAATGAATGTGTATTAAAGTATAGTTTCGCTGCATATTTAATATTTATCTGTTCTATTAGTTAGAAATGTTGTGCAAATATCTGTATCCACCGGCATTGGGGTTCGGACTATTACATAGAGTTTTCTTAGGATTTCGTTTCCAATTTCTACTCAGACTGGTAAATTTTATGGTTGTATAAAGGCTTCACTGTTTAGATTATAATCACATCAATTCAGATCAATCAAACATAAGCTTTTGCTTGATAACTTTTGGTTATCGTGAGTGTTTTTAGAGGGTTCTTCAACTATCTTGTTGAATAAAGAATTGATTCTACTTATTAAGGTAATCTTGTGGTATTTATCAATTCTTATTCTTTTGCTAACTACCTTGGTTCCCAATCACATGTTGATTATGAGTTAAGTAAAGATGATTTGTTTAAGGATTATGTTTTTGTGCTAAATTACATGTTAGAATTTTTTATCACATTGATTGATCTTAGGTTCCGCGTCACATGAATTTTTTTAAAAAATCTCATGAGTAAAGTAGTTTCCATGTAATTCATGACATGTAAAAGGGTCAAGACATAAGTCGAGAGCATTAATAAGAGAGTGGTCATTAGGACCTAAATTGCAAAATATAACAACATCAAAATTCCAAAATTGATAAAGGTCTACATGTAGCTACAAGTTCGTCAATTATTAGTTTTACTTCTTTGAGATATTAAGATACTTTGTTTTCTTTTCGCTGTGATTCCTGAAGTGTCATATAGAGTTAAAGTTGACAAGTATAAGAAATGGACCCAAAGGTCATGTGTAAAGCATCCCAAACTTGTAAGGAAGAGATAGGAGAATCGATTCCAGAGTTTGCCATCTTTTGTTGCTCTGGTATCATGTAAATTGAGCAGTTAAAGATTACATATTATATTATAATATATCTCTATTTATAGATATGAGTATATAAGAATTAAATGAAAAGAAATACAACCATATAAGTACAATGAATTTGAAACCTATTAACACTAGTAATGTGAGAATTAATTCCTTAATAGGCTCAGATTATTGTTAAACAATGGGATACCATGTGTGAAGAGTCTCTAGCACTTGTTTAAGAATAATACTTGAACTCTTGTACCTAAACCTAAATATGATACTATTATTAGGACCAAATGGGTTATCAAATTAAAAAGAAAACTAGTGTAAGCATTGATAGGTTTAAAGCATAGTTAGTTGATAAAAGATTTTATCAAATAGAAGGGCTTGGACCAACTAAATGTCACTCCAGCTTAAATATATTTTACAACACTTCAAAGTGCTAAAGAAATTGAGAACAAATTCAAAAAGGACATTGTGAGTGTGCTAGGACTAGGCAACACATGTAAGACCAATAGTGACACTTTAAAGTGTGAAAATAAATTAAAAGATGCACACTGGAAAGGCATTTGCCTGTAGTCCTCCTACAACACACAAGCCCTACACAAGTGAGACACCTCCTCGTGCATGATGCGCTACGTGCGCAGGTATGCAAGAGACCCTCCTCTAAATCCAAGTATGCTGTGTGTGTGAGGACTCCTACCAATAAACAGACTGAAGTTTCCTAACATTTTAAAGGATGAAAAAAATTTACAAACATGAGAGTTTGGCTGAAAATCAATTTCTTTTGAATCATTTGTAACTTAAAATTTTGTACTGAATTTTATTTGGATTAGATATTTGTAACACATTATAATTAGGAATTTTTTTATATAAATACATACTGAATCGATGTTCATTCTTCAATTATTTCTCTCTCCCTCACTAATTATTTCACTGAGTATCTACTTTATTTTGGATAGATTTGTCTAACTCTGTTTTAATCTCTATATTCATGTTGAATTCTAAAACTGAGTTCTGCTTATTCTATAAGTTTTTATACTATAAATATATGTCATGCAGTAGTAACAAAACTTGTAAAAAATCATATAAATATTGTACATTAATTTTGTGTATGACATGTAATACGTCAACCTATAAATTTGTCTGAGTTAAAAATATTTCGATTTTGTCGGATAACTTATAGGAAAGGCAAAAACTAGTTTGCTCCACATCTTGGCAAAAAAATAAAAGATCAGTTGTATATATTCAATCATATTGGTTAATTTGCTTCTTTAAAATGAAGAAAAAGAAGTTATATACATTCAATCAAGGTTAAGTAAACCTAGTGCAATTCCAACAGAAAAGATAGCTTAGGATGCACTACTTTAAATTTAGAGTCTAAAATAAGTAACAAGAACAAAATTAATTACATCAAGGAAACTACAAGCAAGGCTGTCTTTGTCAACTGTGACTGCAGTAGACAGGTAAAGGTATATATATATATATATATATATATATATATATATATATATATAAAGTATGCATATACGAAAAATGGTTACTTATTCCATAAGAGTTGCTAGTGAAGGTAGGAGCCCACTGCACATTTAGTCATTCCAGTTAAGAAATGTCAGGGATACAGAAAGATAGCAAGCATATATATATATATACACACATATATATAAGTGACATAATTAACTTCTACCAACTTCATATATTTATTTGGTTGCAAGTTCAATTTGAATAATAACTGTTTTCATAAACGAGCTTGTCACTATACTCTCGCTAAAACACCAAGTTCAATAACTTTCTGAATAGAATCTATTAAACAACTCATACTTTAGACCTTTTTTTTTCTTAATAATATACTCATACTTTAGACTTGGATATTAGATCGTGCTTTGAACAGTATTTATATATATATATAAATAGTAATGGGTTACTTAATTGAAGATTGAGATAGACTAGTTACACGTCCAAATTAAACATGGGCATGAATTATCAGTTAGTATTCTCAAACATGTCTCCCCTACCTAATCAAATCAGATATATGTTGACTTAACTAGACGTAAGATTACTATAACTTGATTACAAAGCTACATATATATATATATATATTACAATAGACTAGGGCATTATAACAAACCTATTCCACTTCCTAGTTTCGCAATAATTTACTCAACAACCATTTGTTATTATTATTATTATTTAGTGGTTGAAGAGATGAGAGACAGAGTGGAAAAAGTTATGATTCTTCCCTTCTCAGTCGGCTGTGTTTCTGAATCAAGTGTAGATGTTGCGATAAACCACCATAGAAGAGCAGCCAAGACTCTCCAGACTAACCCATCTCCATTAAGTAACTATTCCCACATATCAATTTTATTTTCTTGTTCTAAGACTCTCTTGATTTCTCAATTAATCCATCTGGTTTCTCTTTTCTAGGAATCCCGGAAGACGAAGACGAAGTCGAAGAAAGGTTATCGTCAACGGAAAACATGAAGACTTCATTCAAGTTTCTAACGCTTTCCAAGCCAGAAATTTCCACCGGCTTCCACAGATTCTTCAAGACTTTCAAGACCTTCTCTCAATTCTTTGGTATATATATCTATTTTCTATAATAATATTCTGTATAGATATATGTATATATGTTTATCTGGAGGAGTTGAATTTTCAGTATACAAGGAAGAGATGGAAGAAGATGCGAAGAGGGAGATGGAAATAGGGTTTCCAACTAACGTGAAGCACGTAACACATATTGGATTGGATGGACCAGTCACCAGCAATGGAAGATGGGAAGAGCTCATCACCTCCTCTTCTCCTCAACTCCTTGATTTCTCTTCTGTTTCTCATCATTAATGCCAAGGCCTCTACTTGATTATTATTATTATTAGTATCAATTAATTAATTGATCACATCAATATATCATTCCTATTCCGCACGTTGGAATATGTCTATATATATTTTATTAAAACAATATGGTACGTGCATGTTCTTATGTATATACATATTTTCATGTTTTAATATTTAGACCCTACTTAATTATCATCAAAAATATATATATGTATAGCATGTTTAGACCGTACTTAATTATGATTCATCATATAATATATATATATATATAGAAAGATCTCTCTACTTACAGGTTTGTTACGTTGTAAATTCATATTTATATTGTACTTATATAATCCATCTTATATATAATACACTATTGATAATGATGAAATAATTCTTTAAGACGCAAAAAAATCGCAATTAGAACACCTGCAGAATAAAAATAAAATAGTATTAACTCTTTAAAATCGCGATTATCTATGGATTTAATCCTCAAAATTGATCTCTTCCTCCTTCATCATTTGGTCCTTGGAGGAAGTTCCTCATAGACGTTAGAATACATGTATATATAATATTTTAAAATTATTCAGCTCAAAATGATAACTCAACCCAATATATATAAGGCAAACATGAAGTATTAAGTTAGAAGAAAGATAAATAATATCTTTACTTATAAAAAATAAGATATTTGATTACATACAGAATCATAAAAGGTATATTATTATCGTTAATTGATAATAATATGCCTGTTATTCTACTTTAGCTCTCAAATAAAATTCTTAACTTATCATCAAAAATCAACCAATGGGAATTATGAATAATTATCAAGAATATACATAAATACATCTATATATATATATATATATATATATATGAAAAAAGAAGCCTCATTACCATAACAATGAGCCTGATGGTTCTATTGGATTCTCCCTCTCACATGTTCTCACTAGCTTTGGCTTGTTTGAGCGGATGACATTAAATTCATGTCTTATTGAACCAAGTACAACATTTTTTTAAGAACTTTAAATTTTTAGTTGAAACAAATGAATAATTCACCAAATATATATATATATATATATATAATAAAGTACATTTGTAATTAAAGGGACAATATAAAATTATTCCATTCCATTAGTGCGATATATACCATTAATCCAAGCATATACATATCTATGGAGGAGATCAAAACCCCATTAAATTGATATTCAAATACCATGTGTAGAACAATTCCATTAGACGTGCCACAAATGGTGTACTCTTAATTCCCATACACAACCATCCAAGTGGGAATATAGTCAGTGGGATTTTGTTCATAGAAAGCTAAGCATGCAGTGTGATGGGTTTCTTTTTTTTTTTTTTTTCCTTTGTTTCTCTAAGAAGCCCATATTTAGAATTCAGATTTTCATGGAACTTATTCTGTGCATATGTATACGTATACATATACATACTCATCAATATACCTTTATATATAATCCTCTTACTTATTTTTATTCAAATCAAATCATGCCCACCCGAATCAAACAAGAGATAAGCTTTTTTTTTTCTCTATTTATTGTGGTCTCAAATTAACTTCAAAAGTATAATTGTAAGTAATTGTCTTTGTTTAACAGAAAAGAAGAAATGGAAGTTTAATTTGGATATTGGTTTATTATAGATATAATAGTAATAATAATGTCATGTATTAAATTCGCCAATAAATAGAATAAATATAGATATATTTTATCTTTTCTCTTATCAACTTAATTTTTTTGTATAATAATTTAATTTATTATTCAATATAATATTATATAATAAAAAGTTTCGTATTCAATTTTGACTTACGGGTTATGTCATTTTATATTAACATGATCGAATTATTTTGTAATATATGTAATATATGTAAATAATTAATTACTATAATATATGTAAATAAATAAATTATACAAGTCGTTATCTTCATGGCAAAGCATGCAAAGTTTATGCAGTGGCTGTATGGCATTGAAAGATCCATTTCAATGAGAATAAATAAGCAACAAAAATAATTAAAAGCTTTTGTTTCCTATTTGCATAGGTGGGTGGAATAATCGCTGGACCTCATTCCTTATTCTATATATATATATATATATACTTATATATATCGCATTATTAAAGTATTGAGATGACCAAAACACAAAACACAAACCCAAATTGTGGAAAGCAACCCAACACTTACAACCATTAACTTATATATGTGTTTCTATATACATACATACATACATATATATATGTATATATTTATGTCACACCTTTACAAGAATCCACAGCATAGAATCGAATGCACCCACCAGTTTGAATGCAACATTATCATTCCAATTACTCTTATATTTAATTATCATTTACTTATATTTTCAATTAATTATTAATTATTGTTAAACTTAATTATTGTTAATATATTTTTTATTAAAAAAATCGTAACTTTTAATTATATTGTAGTCATGTGTATATTTTCATTCAATTTTTTTTATTTATTATAATTGATATACGTGTATTATATAATTAATGAATATATTCATTTTCTATTAAAAAAAAAAGTAATTTAACATAAAAAAAAAAATAGTTTCATTATATAATTACGGTTATAATCAATGGTTAATTAAATGAAATAACAAGGATTTGAACATGTTTTGACTCTTGGTTACAATCAATACTTAGTTTTAAATTGATTTTTTTTTAAAAAAAAAATATTTATATTTATAAATGTAGATGACGCAAAACAGAAAATATATTTATATATCCTCCATGGCGAAGGCTATAAGTATGGGATCCCTGTAGTTCACCATTTGTCACTCCCCATTACTTTCATTTTTCCTTCGTGCCATACTTTTTTTTTTTATATAAAATATTATAATACCTAACTTATATATACATACATACATATATACGTATATTAAATTAAATAAGTAAAAGATCAAGAAGAATGATAGGGTGGGAAGACGCATACAAGGTGGTGGTAGCCATGACTCCACTCTACGTGGCTTTAATGTTGGGTTACGGATCGGTTCGGTGGTGGCGGATCTTCCCGCCGGAGCAGTGTGACGCCGTCAACCGATTCGTTTGTTACTTCACGCTTCCCATGTTCGTCCTCGAGTTCACCACTCACGTTGACCCGTTCCAGATGAACTACCGGTTCATTGCCGGAGACGCGATCTCCAAGGTGGTGATCGTGTTGGTGCTGGTGGTGTGGGCCAAGTGCAGTAGCAAGGGAAGTTTCAGATGGGCCATAACCAGTTTCTCTCTCAGCACATTGACCAACACATTGGTGGTGGGTGTGCCGCTGATCGAAGCCATGTACGGTCAGAGTGCGGTGAATTTGGTGGTTCAGGCATCGGTGGTTCAAGCCATTTTTTGGTTAACTTTTCTGCTGTTTGTGTTGGAGTTTCGAAGCTCGTTGGTGACTGAAGATGACGATAAGGATATGGAGATGATTGGTAATGGAGGATCAGTGAGAAGATCTTTCTGGTCGTTGATGAAGAATGTTTGGCTCAAACTCATGGTGAATCCTAACTGCTACGCTTGCGTTCTTGGCGTTGCATGGGCTTTCATGGCCAACAGGTACGCTACATTAATTAACTATATATATATATATAACTAAACCTGTTTATATAAAAAATTTTAAGTTTGTGATGTTTGCAGGTGGCATTTTGAGATGCCAAAAATCTTGGAGGGTTCTATATTGATCATGTCGAGAGCAGGGACAGGAACTGCCATGTTCAGCATGGGTAAGTAGCTAGGTTATACGTACTTAAGTGGCATGCATATATATATATATATATATATACATATCTATGTGTAATATTAAGCAAAAAACGGGGGTATTGGATGGGACAGGGATGTTCATGGCTGTGCAGCAGAAATTGATAGCATGCGGGACAGGGCTGACTATATATGGAATGGTGTTGAGGTTTATTGCGGGACCAGCCGCCATGGCTATTGGCTCTATAGCTGTGGGCTTGCATGGTGATGTTTTACGTGTTGCAATCATTCAGGTTAAACTTTTTCTCTTTCATTTTCAATATAATCTTTACTCTAACTATATCTATATGTACATACATATCATTCATATATCACACACCAAATTCCCATTCGCAAAAAACGAGTGGAAAATTTATTGACACACTCTCCATCCACCGTAGTATGATTTCCACCATATATAGTATTGATAATATTTATATATGTTTAATAATTATATATATATATATATTTATATATAAATTTTCTTTTGCAGGCAGCTCTGCCACAATCAATTACGTCCTTCATCTTTGCTAAAGAATATGGTTTGCATGCAGAAGTCCTCAGCACAGCGTAAGTTCAATTATATATGGTATTATTTGTGTGTCTTGTGTGTGTGTATATATATATATATATATTATAATTAATAAAATTTTCAAGAATAAAATTAATTTGTTTTCTGGGTATGACAAATTGCAGTGTGATATTCGGGATGATGGTGTCTCTACCGATTTTGATTGCTTACTACGCAATCTTAGAATTTGTAAATTAATCCCCTCGATTTTATTCTTAAGCAAATTATTGAGGGGATTAATATATTAATTGCTGCAACTCCTTTTTGATATTATTGTATGAGCTTTTTTGTTTTCTTCTTAAATTTTCTACAATACCTTTTTTCCCATTTGAATATTTCTGCAATTGATAATCAACTCTTATAGTATTGGGGGGTTTTTATGCCGCTTCCACTCCCAAAATTGAAAATTATGAAGTTGTATATAACACGTACAAATTATTTGGAATTACTATAAAAATTCCAGCATATATTAATATAATGACTCTAATTCCATATATATGTAACACCCATTACATTTTTTACACGAAAAATGCAAATAATTGTTACTTTTTTTTTAAGTATTCGTTAATCACATATACAATTCAATTTGGAGTATAAGAAATCCTTATTATTAGAAAAATTAGTTGACTTACTTGATACATTGATATATATATATACAAATCCTTAACGCAAAGCATTCATTATGATATAACAATTAAATAAGGAGATATATATATATATCTATATATAAGATATAGAAATTACATATGAAAAATTTATTTATAGTAGTATGTTGATAGGTGATCTCCATGCTACTTCACAATTTGGAGCATGAAGGTTGCAAATACTTGGTCAATAAATGGTACAAAATTTTGTTCTCTATTACCTTAGTGAAAAGGACCTCCACTATGTGTAAGTGCTTTTTAGTTCAAACTAGAAACCTAGACTTGCATGTATGTCTAGATTGGATCGAACATATAAATTTGATTCAAATCAGACTTTCAATTTTCGTTCAAATTGGACTACACCAACAAATTCGTTGTAAATTGGATCAGATCACCGAGTTCGGTTCAAAGTAAATTGGACTGTATAATGTTTGATTTAATTTTCAATACAAAAATTCAATCTGACACTGTATAATGTTTGATGGATTAAATATTTTTTTAGTTATTAAAAATTATAATAATAAATAAATAACTAATATATATTATTTACATTATTCAAATAAAATATTGAAATGTTAAATATATAAATAATATATATTCTTTAACATCTAAAATTAAAACATTAGTATATAAGTAATATATTTGAAAAATTAAATGAGTAAATTTCCATCTAAAACCAAAAGGAAATGAAAATTTTTAATTCGATACGGTTCATTATGAACCGAAATTATATCTGTCTGGTCTTATGTTCAAATTTTTTTTATTTAATCTTTATTTGATCAAGTTCAGTCTTATCAAGTTTTGATTCACTCTAATATGATTCTCGTTTGATATTCACTTCTATCTAAAACTTTACTGTTAGAAAGACATAAAATACAAATAACTCATTGCTATGAATATAACTATGAATCCAATATGCTTTTTATATTCAGTGAAAGAAAAGTTTAAACAAGTACATTAACAAGTGCATCAACTTATCATCTAAATAGAAAAAATAAGTACGGTTTTGTTTTGGTATAAAGTAATTAAAACTATTTATGTCGACTTTTTTTGTTTGTTCTAATTAAAAAATCTTATAATTTTAGAAACTTAATGTATGATTTTAAATACATAAAAAAAAAATTAATATTAAATCGTATCCTTTATTTTCTCATTTGTTTCCAATCCCAAACATAGACTAAACAATAAAAAGTTGATAGCCCGGTATATGGAAAAACTTGTTTTCTATGCCATATTTGCTAATGTATCATGGTGTCTAAAAATATTTTGTTCACATGGTAGAATAAAGTTGATAATTTGAATTCATTACTATCCTCTACTCCTTTTTAAAAGAATTTTTTTTTCGGCAAGTGTAATGAAGGCGTGGTGATTTGTCGAAACCCGAAGCGAAAGAAATAACATTATATTTGTTACAAATGTATTCACGAAATTACCGTACATTTAATATTGAAGAGAATAATGATAAAAGTAAAGATGAAATATAAAAATAAAATATTTAAAAAGTAGTTTCATTTACATTTATAATTATTCACCAAATATACAAGTTTTGCATATTTTCATAAATAAAAACATACAATGTACATGTTAATTTAAAAAATAAAAAATAAAAATTACTTTTATGTACAAAATAGAGCTTCATATCCTTGTTCCATTTGCTTCTGCAAAACCTCTTCTCCCGTGTACAGAGCCGGCCCTCAAGGGGGATCAAAATTAATTGGTGATCAAAGAAAGTGTAGATCTACGTTTAAAAGAATTGTTATGGTAAGGATAAGAAGAAATTTTTTCTGACATAGGTCTGAATGTCTGCATTTTGAAATTGTATATATCCATGATGAAGATCAGGAAGGGAGGCTACAAGGTCAGAACATATATATATATATATATTGTGAATTCAATCCACCAGCAGTGCCCCTGATCAATACTGCCATGAAAGCTATCAAATAAGAGATGCTCTTGCTTCGGTTACCAGTAATCTCCACATGAGCAGTGGCCAAGCTTGAAATTATGAAACCGATAAATATCTCTGACAATTATTTCCCTGCCCAAAAGTTGAGAAGTGTACTTCATAAAGTTATGACAGTCATTACAAATTCGTAGGTTTTTCATTATTCGAATTGGCATCCCACACGGTGTGCTAATGATGCCATAAGCAACTGCAAGTTTTTCACTGTGGAAATGAAGAAGTCTCTCTCCTTCTTCTTCTTCCACATCCTGCATCACCAGTTCCAAATCTGATAAGTAACCGAGTTCCCTCAACCTTCCGATTAGCTTGTCCAAGTATGCATATATTCCAATGTCTTGTGGATGAGATCTATCTCCCATCACAAAAATGTGAACTTGATTCTTAATTTGGATCCAAGATTGACCAGGATGTTTTCTAACTCCTCTGTTGTTCATTAAACTCCTCACTTTTGCAGCTTTTTCCCATTTATGTTCTGTGGCATATGTGTTGGATAACAGAATATAAGGTCCTGCATCAAATGGTTCCAGTTGCAGTAATTTTTCTGAAACCCACTTCGCCATCTCAGTATCCTTGTGAAGTCGACAGGAAGATAGAAAGGATTTCCAAATTGCGGTTAAGTGAGAAAGACCATGCTTGTGAATGAACTCCTTTATCTCATTAAAGAGGCCGCACCGACCATACATATCAACCATACAAGTAAAGTGTTCGACTTTTGGTTTGATGCCATAAACTTCTGTCATTAATCTAAAATATTTACAACCTTCCTCGGGCAATCTGCCATGACTGCATGCTGTTAGAACAGCAACAAAAGTTACCTCATTTGGTACTGTAATTCTCTCGTCTATCATGCATTTGAAAAGGTTAATGGCTTCCTTCCCGTACCCATGTAATGCAAAAGCAGATATCATTGATGTCCACAATACAATGTTATGGTCATTAGTTTGTCCGAAAATTGTCCATGAATCATCCAAACAACCACATTTTGCATACATGTCAATTAGTGAGGATCTCAAGTGAGCATCCATCTCATGTCCAATTTTCTGAACGTAGGCATGGATTTGTCGAGCAAATTCCAGTGTTCCAGAATTCGCACAAGCAGAAATAATGCTGGTGATAGTATATTTGTCCACCTCAATATTTTCATCAACCATGGAGATAAATGTTTGCAAAGCATATGCATAGTCACCATTCTGGACATATCCGGTAACAATTGAGCTCCATGAAATAGCTGCTGCCACCAATTCATTGCAAGAAATCTTAGAATCCTCTGGTCTCAGAAAATCTGGACTAATTCTCTCAAAAACTACCGATGCATTTCCCATTTTTCCACATCTGCAATACATGTGAATTAGTGAATTCCTTATGAAGCCGTCAATAGGAACTCGAAGCCTTAGAATTCGTGCATGAATTTGCTTCCCTAGCTCCAAAATCGATAAGGATGCAACTAAAACCAAGGCTATGGAGAAAGTAGCTTTGTTAAACAAGAGTCCATTTTGTACCATCTGGTAGAGCAACCCTAATGCAGTTCTTTCAAACCCATTTTTAATTAGCCCATCTATGACAGTATTCCAAGTCACAACATCTTTCAAAGGAAAGCTTCTAAACAAATCAAGAGATTTTCCAACTTCTCCAATATGCAAGTATGCAGCAAGCATCACATTCCATGACACTGAATCCCTCTCTTTCATCAACTCAAACCATCTGCTTGCATGATCAAAAGCTCTACATTTCACGTAAAGATCAAGAATTGAATTCTTCAAAACAACATCCACATCCATACAATTTCGTACTATCCACCCATGAATTTCCTTCCCCGTCCTGGTCTCACGCAAACCAGAACAACTCTTCAAAACACTTGATAAAATGAACTGATTAGGACAAACTCCCTGAATCTGCATCTCTCTGAAAAGCTGCAGCCCCAAAATAGAACACCCAATTCGAGAAAAGCCTGTTATAAGAGTAGTCCACGTGCGAATATCTCTGGCAGGTATTTCATCAAACAACTTGCGTGCATGATCGAATTGATGATACATGACGTACGAAGCCAGAAGATGGTTACCCACATGCAAATTTTGAAGAGAGCCATCTTTGATGGCGATAGCATGATGATTTTCAATCGCTATCGCATCTTCCTCACCGCCCATGGATAACGAATGGTAATTGTACCAGAGCTTTTGGCGAACCTGTAAATGAGGCATGTATGCAATAGGAGCTATAATGGAAAGTGAGGAAAGCAAGTCAGCATGAGTTCTGAAGAACAAGAGCAGATCAGTAATGGAGCAGAATTGAGGGGCTAGACAAGCCCGTCTCATTTTTATAAACCAGGCATTGTTTAACTGCAGAGTTTAGCCTAGTTCAGTTGATTCAACAATTAGACAGAACTAGAGAAGCTGAGAGTTTTTTAGTCCAAGAGGTTTTCTTTACTTCGTCCTTGCCAACAAACAATTCGAAATGTCTCAACTTTCTTATAACAGGTTCGGGTTAAATAGTAATAATTCGAAACACTTTTTTTTACATTATTTCAAAAATTCAAGAACTCAATCATATGGATATATAATATATAAGATTTTCAATCATAGCAAAATAATAAGGGAAAAGGATGCTCGATATAAAGCGAGTAAATAAAATTTTATATTCAATCTTGTAGATACAAATAAAATTACGTGAAAGTCGTATTCAATAAAAATCGTATCTACAGTTTGAATAAATTTTTTTTATATTTTTTAAAATCTATTAAATCTTTTATATCGGTTGAGATTTATCTTTATAATGTAGAATTAAATTTTATATTTATTAAAAATTAATATTTTAATATATTTTAGTTTAGATTAAATTGTACCGAATGAAGTTCGATTTAATATTAGTTGAAAGTGATTAATATAATTATTTTAAAATATATAATTTTTTTAATTATATATTTTGTATATGTTTATATGACATATAATGTATATGTAATTTGTATATATAAGATAATATATCTATAATTTTTATTAATTTTTTAAATTAAGACAAGAAAATAATCCAATCGGTCCAGACCAAATTGATTTTAAAAAAAATAAAAATAAAATTATATTTATATTTTTACATTGTGGATATTTAAAATTATAAAGTAAAATAAAAATAGAATTAAAATTAAAATTATCAATTCATCCAAAGTTATTCTGTTCTACCAGAAACTAATTTTGTTTTTTTTTTAAATAAAAAAAAAAAAAAAGAATGAAGATGGATGTCATCTGCTTGTGGCAGTGAAATGGCTGTTTCATGTAGACCAACTTACATAGCGACTGTGAGTCGATTCTGGTCTCCTTCTCCTACTTGCTTATCTGCATCTTCTCCTCTCCAACCCAACTCGTTCTTACTCAGCAGAATTAGCTCTTTCTTCACGCCTTCCTCCAACATACACACGCGAAGCTCCAAGACAATGGCTTCTTTGCATGCTACGGATGAGAAGTTTACTCAACAGAAAATAACTGCTCCTTATGGTTCCTGGAAGTCTCCGATCACCGCCAACGTTGTCTCCGGTGCCTCCAAGAGACTCGGCGGCACCGCCGTCGACTCCCACGGCCGCCTCATCTGGCTCGAATCTCGCCCTTCCGAATCCGGGTGGGTTTCCACTACGTGTACATTTCTTTACTGTTATTGTTGGTTAATTGATCTGATACTTGAGTTTATTGAAATTTGGGGAAGGCGGGGGGTTCTTGTGAAGGAAGCTGACATTGAAGGAGGTGAAGCTACTGACATAACGCCGAAAGATTTTGCGGTGCGTACGTTGACCCAGGAATATGGAGGTGGTGCCTTCAGGGTTTCTAGAGACGATATCGTCGTGTTCTCCAACTACAAGGATCAGAGACTCTACAAGCAGCGTATCAATCATCAAGGTCAAATCTCTTCATCAATGTTCACATGCCGCTAAAATGGGTTTACTCTTATTTGCTGTACGCCATTGATGGTTACTTATTATTTTCACACTGCATTTAGTTTCGTGTATTTATTTATTTACATTCTCTGATTCCATTTGCTGAAACTATATACCGTGTCTACCAGATTCCTCTCCTATACCAATTACCCCTGATTATGGCGCACCAGTTGTCACCTATGCAGATGGGGTATTTGATCCACGCTTTAACCGTTATGTCACTGTGAGAGAAGGTGGCTGATTAAGATACCGTTCACCTCTGTGGATTTCAATTTACAGATAAGCTGCTTATTAACTCAGTTTTCTTTTTAGATGGTCGTGAAAGTAGAGTAAACTCAACCACGGAAATTGTAGCGATAGACCTAAACAATGATACAGTTGAAGGTAAGCCACTTGGAATACAATCTTGTAGAATAAGTTTTCTTTTATTGATCTGATGAGAATTGATTTTCATTCTCTCTGTCTCTGGACAATGTTATTCAGAACCAAAAGTTTTAGTAAGTGGAAACGACTTCTATGCCTTCCCACGTCTGGATCAGAAGGGTGAACGGTTGGCATGGATTGAATGGGGCCATCCTAATATGCCATGGGATAAAGCAGAATTATGGGTTGGCTATATATCTGAGGATGGGTATGCAAATTTATCCTATACTTGTGTACCTATTCCTTTGCATCTCCTTCCGGGGATCAATTATTCAATTAAACCTTACAATTTAATATACCAGCATTCTGTATGTACTCTTTGCTTGTTTAGAAATTGAGAAATGGCTTTGCCAACTCTTTTGGAGAATTGAATTTGGGTCAGTCTTTGTGGTTTTTTAATGTGAAGTTCCCCTTCTCCTTGAGTAAGAGTTGCTTATTATATATATTATATGCATACACGTAAAAATGTTTGTTTCTACTTACCTAATGATTTTCCTGTCCTGACTTGCTCCACAAATGCTGTTGAAAACCAAAGATCTTCTATTTATCAAATTCTCAATCCAAAAAGAAAAAATAGTTGCTTATGTCTATATAACCTTATTCTCTTTATGCTGTAATGTAGATATGTCCAAAAACGTATTTGTATTGCTGGTTATGATCCTCAAGTTGTGGAGTCTCCAACTGAACCCAAGTGGTCATCTAAAGGTATTGCTTTTGCATAACCTGTGAACCATTATGTTAATGCTATCATGACGTATCAAGTAAGATCACATAGGCAAATACTTTACCATTTGTGTCGACGAAAAAAGTTTTATCTGCATCTATTATTCATAAACACACTTTTTTTTCTCTCAACATGCGGTGTCGACAATCCTGTCTGTGTCAATCTATCATTCTTCATTCTCGATTTTCATCTCAACTTGTTCCATTTTTTCCTAAATCATTTAGGTTTTATTAGCTAGATTATTGAAGCTTATTTTAATGTTGCTTAGTGCTAGATGTTTTTGTGACAATCCAGAAATTTAGTGATTGATGTAGTTGGAGTTATCAGGTTTTTGGTATGTTTGAGTCATTTTACGAACCAAAATCTTCCTCTGAATTTTTGCAGGAGAACTATTCTTCATTACTGACAGGGAAAGTGGATTTTGGAATGTCCATAAATGGGTAAAATGACTCCTATATCTCTGAAATTTGTGTTCTTGATGCAAGTAGTTAACCTTACTGGTAATTTATCCTGTAAATTGTGGATTGAGGACCTTGTCATATCTTTTTTACTCGAAATGCCAGCATGCCAATTTGTTATGTGTGCACACAAAGCTGCAGTTGATAGATTTAGTCTAACTATATATTTTCCAGAACTTGGAAACTACCAAGCTTATTCCTCCCTTATACTTTCAAATTGTTTTGTGAAACTTATGTCATTTATTACATGATTTCCTGAGGCTATATCCTTGAACTTCCTCTTCTTTCACATATTTCTTTGAACTTCTTTGGTTCCATTTTTCCCACTTGTTGCATCTCAAAGGATTAATTGCTTAATGTTTCAGATATTCATATATGTATTTTGTGGTGAAGGTTGAGAAGGGGTTCTTTTTTTCGTTATCTATAAATAAAAACTACTGAGACTCATAATTGAGTGCCTAACAACTCTATGATTGTGGTTGTAACAACCCTGTGATTGTGGTAGTTGTCAACCCATGTGATTGTGAATTGGTGTTTTCTCCTTCTCTTTTTCTATCTGTCTAAACCTACTTAATTGTGCTAAATCAAGGTTCCTCTCTGTTATGTTTGTTTTCAGTTGTATTATATCCTAAAAAACATATATGCTTATTCATGTCTTCTAAATTCAGATATTGATTGCTAACTCAGCAAGTTATGGAAAACTTTGAGAAATAAATATAGCATCGGGTAAAAACTACGAAGGAAGATAAAAATGCCCATTAACAACCACAGGAATTTGAAACTTGTTAGGTTCCATAATTAAGGATCATCTTATGGGACTTGAAGTTAGATAATCGGAGAGAGGATTGAAACTTTTTGCTACGTTTTTTCCCTTCTTCTCTATTGTGCCTGACAATAAGCTCCTTAAAGAGGAGACTAAGACTCTGAATTAAAAAAGAAAACTTAATTTTGTTTAACAAATTCTACTTGATTCTCTTTCCAAACTCCAAAAGAGTTTTTATTTTCAGTTACAAAGTTAATTGCCCACTTACTGTCTTTTCTACAGTAACACAGACTGAAATGAAAAAGAAAAAAAAAACTGAAAAGAATTGATAAGATTGAGCATAAAGAAAACTAAAGTAGCATAAACTAGGAAAATATGGGAAAAATAGAAAAAGACTATTATGGTTGGTTTGAATCTTTGACTTGATCAGTTGTCTTTTACCCATGTGTAAGGCACTTATAAACTTTGCGCATAAGAAATATCTCATTAAGACTCATGACGTCACTCTCTGGAACCCACCCAATCTTAGCAATAGGTTTATAGTAACAACAAATTCCCAAGCCCTCCATTGGACAAATACCTCTTGCTGATCTACAAAAGGGGTGGGTTGAATGCGATCTATGTTAACAATTGGGAAGAGAGGGAAAGGAGGAGGGGTTTAATATGCTCTATTTTAACAGTTTAACAACAACAGGACATCATCATTCTATTATTTTAACAATCTGTAGATATTCTAATGTGCAGGCCAAGATCAACCAGCGTGATAAGAAACTTACACAATTTCATTTAAAGGAATTAAATGAATTGATCTTATAAAAATCCTTTCTACTTAACCCGCTATTAACAATGATAGGAATTAAGGTCATTGAAAATGAAAGAAATAGAATGCAAAGACGTCACAAGGTCGTACTTTGATAAGTATATGTACTCCTTACTCAACAAGATAGTAAAAGAATATCTCTTAAAAAGAAACACTCTTAATATTATTGAAATAATTCCTGAATCCTAACAATGAAATTTTGTTGACTTACTTATGAGCTAAACCAAATAAATAAAAAGAAAAATAAAATCTCTTAATTTAATTTACAATTACAAAGGAAATAAATTAAAAATTAAAAACTAATTTGCTAAGATAGATTTAGTCTTCCCTTTTAATTAAAAGAGATTGTAGTCAAATTAAGAGGGGATACTTATGGAAATAAATTAAAAATTAAAAGCTAATTTTCTAATTAAGATAAATTCAGTGTTTCCCTTTAATTAAAAGAGATTGTGGTCAAATTAATGAGGAGACATATGAAAATTTAGGGTCGGTCATAAGATCTCCTTTTTGGTATATTCGTTCCTCTTTCTTTGGATTGGACATTCTCTTTATGATCCATGTCTATGCTCACATCATCCCTTTCCCTTTCAAAAATGATTCGTTCTCGAATCGGACACTTCTTATACAAGGGTTTCACCAATCATGTTTTCTTTGAGAAAATATCTTGCAAAACAATACTATTAAACAAAGAATGTTTGAGGTGAGTTAATAATGTTTTCTTGTAAGATGGCTTCCTTAGCTCCTGTTTCATATAATAACATTCTCTTTTCACATTGTTCAATCTTTGATTTCCTACGGACTTTATGGAGTTTTTGAGTTGCTGCTGATTTTTGTATACCTCCTCAGGTGATAGCGGTGCAAGTGTAAAATTTTGACCACTCATGCTAAAGGAATAACGATTCCTATAGTCATCATAAGTTGCATGCTTATCATACTGTCAGGATCTTCTAAGTAGGATGTGACTAGCATTTATGGGCACAATATCACAATGATTATCAGTGTATCGCCAATAGAAAAGGAAACTAATACCTGTTTAGTCACTTTCATCTCTCCACAATCAGTCAACTACTGCAACTTGTAAGGGTGAGGATGGCGCGTGCATGTCAAAACAAGTTTATCAACTAGGATAGTACTAGCAACATTGGTGTAGTTACCCCCACCTATAAAGAGACTGCATACCTTCCCATTTATAAGGCAACGAGTGTGAAAGATATTCTCTCTTTGGTTACTTTTTTTCGACTTGACTTGGGCATTTAGAACTCTCCTGATAACCAAAGTTTTCTCTTGAGATGGATATTCAACACTTTCCTCAATATCCTCCAATGGTGGCATGCTATCATTATATTCGCTTTCGCAATCGCTAGCACTATCAATTCTACTATCATCTCTCAATAGTATGATCTTTTTATTTGGGCATTGAGAAGCAACATGTCCGGTTCCGAGATACCTAAAGCATTTAATTATACTATGCTTTTGAGATGAGTTATGTGTTATACCTTTTGTATCAAGTGGTGCGGATTTTTTCTTCTTCTCGTCTGCTCCCCTGTTTTCTTCTTTCTTGGGCCATTCCGAATTGTAGGTAGGGATGACATATGATATACCCCCTCCTTTTGTACTTGAGTTGTTTTTCGATTTTTATGACTATGTGTACCATGTCTTCCACCTCCATATAGTGTTGTAATTCCACCATGTTGGCGATGTCTCTGTTGAGACCTCCGAGGAATCTCACCATGGTTACTTCGAGATCTTCTTATATATTGACCCTGATCATGGCCATCTCCATCTCTTTGTGATAGTTCTCAACGGACATAGACCCTTGCGTTAAGCGTTGTAACTTTTGATGCATCTTTCTATAGTAGTAAGAGGGTACGAACTTTTTTCGCATGATTGCCTTCGTCTCTCTACTGGAGGATATTGGTCGCTCTCCATTATATCGTATAGTGAGTAGTAGTTGATTCCACCACACTAAGGCGTAGTCAGTGAGCTCTACCGCTGCTAGTTTGATCTTCTTTTATTCATGGTAGTTATGGCAATCAAAGACTAGTTTTACCTTCCTCTCCCTCTCCAAGTATGCTTCAACATCATTTTAACCCTTGAAATGTAGTATTCTCATTTTGATGGAGCTGATATTACTATCCCTTTTTTTTTCTCTCCTCTCCACCCTATCTCCCTCCTCATCATTACAGGACCCGGCCTCATTTTCAGGATGTTGAGTTCTAGGTCACCTTGTATTAGGGGTCTTGTGTCTTGCTTTACTTCGATCACTACTCAAGTTATCTACCTTCTAATTAACCCGTATTAATTCTGCATGCATAACCTCCATAAAGAGCATTATGTTGGTAGGGCTTTGATGCTCACTTGACATTTTAAGAAGATTTCCTTCAAAAGGGTTAGGAAAAAAAAATGTTTATTCACCAGTTCTCTCGCATTTCACTCATTTGGCTTTTATCTTCTAATAATCTCACACACTCTTGTCTTTTACCTTTTTATCTCTTACTCTTAAGTTGAGTGTCGGATAAATTCTCTTGAATCAAAGTATTCTCAAGTATTGTTTTAAGATATCGCAAAGAGTCCTGTAGAATAAATACCGTAACATTAAAAGTAAGAGTGTAACACATAAAGGAAAAGATAGTGTGTTATTAATTACACTAAGCTCTAAGATGCAATTTAGATGTTTAGATGTATTAGGGAACTAAAACTTAAAACAAAAAAAGAAATTGAGAGTAGAAAAAAAAAAATTTACGGTTTATAGAAGATGTAGGGATTCGGTATTGCCCCAAGGAGAAATCCGAAAGATATTCCTACCAATCTATTTCTTATGTATGTTACGTTCTATATAAAAAAAAAAATATAGTCTTTAATGAACTATGTAAGTGTAAATGCACATGTTTGTAAAAAAAAAATTATAAAATAAAAGGGGTTTTTGCCTTATGAAGAAGTGGTTCTTGCACCATTTCAAAGAAAGATGGTTGAGTACTAAAAAGGTAAGTACTTTCCCGATGGGATTTCTTCTCTTTGTTTACTTTCTTTTCTCTCTTCTTTTCTTTATTTTTTCTCTTCTTTTTTTTTTCTTTTTTATTTTTTTTGCACAGGAAACAAAACTACAAGAAAAATAGATTAAAAAAAATATATCAGTACTCAACAACAATTTTATCAAGTCAATAAAACGTCAATTGACGTTATGTCTTGCTTGGATAGATGTATGAGATAATCTTTTTTTGAATAGATGAATGAAAAAAAATTAAATAAATAAATAAATGGTGCAAGAATTTAAAAGTACAAAAGTAAAAAATAATAGGTTTAGATAGAGTCAAAGTTCTAATACCAAATGATGTAGAATCCAAAATCAACCAGTATAATCAGGAACTCACACAATTTCATTTGAAGACATCAAATGAATTGATCCTATAAAAACTCTTTCTACTTAACCCGCTATCAAGAATGATAGAAATTAAGGTCATCGGAAATGAAAGAAATAGAATGGAAAAACGCCGCAAGATCGTACCTTGATAAGTAGATCTACTCCTTAATAAGATGGTAAAAGAACCTTCATACTTAACCCGCTATCAAGAATAATAAGAATTAAGGTCACTAGAAATGAAAGAAATAGAATGAAAAACGCGGAAGATCGTATCTTGACAAATAGATCAACTCCTTACTTAATAAGATGGTAAAAGAATCTCTCTTGAAAAGAAACACTCTTAATATTATTGAGGCAATTCCTGAATCCTTACAATGAAGACTTGGTCGCCTATTTATAGGGTAAGCCAAGTAAATAAAAAATAAAATAAAATATCTTAATTTAATTTGCAATTACATAAGAAATAAATTCAAATTTAAAAAATAAAAATTAATTTTCTAAATAAAATAGATTTAGTCTTTTTTTTTAATTAAAAGAGATTGTGGCCAAATTAAGAGGGGAGACATATGAAAATAAATTAAAAATTAAAAACTAATTTTTTAATTAAGATATATTTAATCTTCTCCTTTAATTAAAAGAGATTGTGATCAAATTAATGGGGAGACATATGGAAATTTAAAGTCGGCCATAAGATCTCCTTTTTGGCCTATTCCCTCCTCTTTCTTTGGATTGAGCATTCTCTTTATGGTTTATGTTCATGCCCACATCATATTCTATCATGTCTGTAAGTAGAACATCCAATAACAAGTAAATAGAAAACTAATGCTAAAACAGAATATCTTAAACAAGTCAAGTTTTTCCTGATATTAAATAAAAGACTATAGTTGCATAAATGTATATAGCATTTTAAGGTCTTCTTGTTCTGCTTGAAAAACTCTAAACAAAGTTGTTCAGGTTGACTTGGATTTGTTTTTTTGATGATCCTCTAAAACTGCTATAACATCATCATTTTGTTTACACATGTGCTAGGCAACAACTTTCAAGCAATATCCTAATCTACCTCCAGATCCCTTCCCACCATACCTATAATATATGTTCTTCCCATAAATGGATTACTGGCCTATGTACTTGTGCCTGGGACTTCTTCCGTACAAGTTCTTTGACTTGGAATTATAATCAGTGAGCCAATTGCTTTGGACTGAAACAAAATTTTCTTTACATCTTGCAACAGATTGAATCTAGCAATCAGGTGCTACCAGTTTATTCTCTGGATGCTGAGTTCACGAGACCATTATGGGTTTTCGGCCTTAACTCCTATGAAGTTATTGGGAGCCATGGAGAAAAGAATTTGCTTGCTTGTAGCTACAGGTGATAGTGAGAAAGTTATAGATCTTAGTTTCTCTATGCTATTTATAAAAATTGTTTTCACTTCTGTGTCGTGTGAACCACCATGGCAATTTTTGGTAGAGTTAAGAATTTAGATGTCTGAATGCAGGCAGAATGGGAGGTCATATCTTGGCGTTCTGGATGATGTGAACGGCTTATGTTCTCTGCTTGATATACCGTTTACGGATATAGATAACATTGTACGTTCAAAATATTTCCTCATGTTGCAACTTTTTCATTATATTTTTTAATGGAAAAGGTTAATTTAATTTCATAATCAGAACCTATTGATAGTTTGCTAAGATTTACATTATTACTTTTACAGACTTTTGGGAATCAATGCCTGTATGTTGAAGGAGCATCTGCAGTTCATCCATTATCAGTGGCTAAAGTATGCCTTCTTTCCAGTGCTACCGTGAAAAACTTTTATTGATGGAAAAATTCTTCAATATCTCACTTCAGAAATCACTTTTTTTTCTGTTGGGTGGTGCCCTTGCAGGTGACTCTAGACGACAGTAAATCAAAAGCAATTGATTTCAAGATTGTTTGGTCTTCTTTACCTGATAGTTTGAAGTATGAATCATACTTCAGCTTGCCAGAGTTGATTGAATTTCCAACAGAAGTTCCTGGTCAGATTGCTTATGCATACTACTACGCCCCATTTAATCCCTTTTACCAAGCCAGCGAGGAAGAGAAGCCGCCATTGTTATTAAAAAGTCATGGTACGCTACTAAGGCAAATGAAATCACTATTATTGTATATGTCCATATGTATTAAATTCTAGAAAATGAACATAGAAATTGGCATCAGTATCTGTCCTTGAAAGAGGGATAAAGAAGCTTGCTCTGGCTAATAATCAAAACTTTTAAATTTGGGACCTGTTTTTTGTTCTATGCAGTCTTGCATTGAATTAATGAATTATGATCTGTGGTCCCATGAAAAAAAGAATCACAAATTTATTGTCCGTAATTGGTACCCTTTTATAGGATTTTGATTGATGGCATGGGCTTTTAAAGTACGGAAGTTTTTTTTCTCTAACTCCTTTCATTAGTGCAATACAGAATTTATTCTTTAGATAGACTGAGGGATTGCTTTCTAGTAACTGCCTTATCTCTGAGAGCAAGAGTTACAGACTTGTCCAAATCATATAACTGCCAATTTAACAGGTGGCAGAGGACAACAGAACACTTCTTTTTATAACAGAGAACCTATAAACAGAGCAAGACATATCATAGAAGATAGCTGCATAAAACAGATTAAGAAATTCTCCGTTCCTTCTTTTTGTCCCTTCATTTGCTGGTACATCTAATTGAAAAGCACTATGTTCATTCCCTAAGTAGGGACCACAATGCTGTGTATCATATGTTTCTTTGAAATATTGCAGGAGGACCTACTGGTGAAACACGTGGAAGCTTAAATCTAAGTATCCAGTTCTGGACTAGTCGAGGATGGGCATTTGTCGATGTTAACTATGGTGGAAGCACTGGTTTGTACCCTACACAATTAATAATTTTCTGTTTGTTTTTATTTTCTTTGGAGGTGGGTTGAGTGAAGGGAGATAAATTTTCTTCCTCGTTCTCCTGCCGACAATTTTTGCCAGGATCCAATCACATCCATTTAAATATTTGGCAAAACTCAACAGTCTACTAAATTCATTGTAGGCCATGGTTGCATGTGAACTTTTGATAATTCTTTATTGTTACAGCTGCTAGGCATCGCTTTTTAACAATTTGTTCTGGACCTGGTTCTTATCCGTTTATATTTTGGAAAACTTGGCAGCTACTTTAGTTCATCCATTGGAAGTCATGGTTGTTCGTGAATTTTAATTGCTTTCTTGTTATGGCTACACCACTCTCCTCATATATATATATATTTGGCCCTAATTGGCTTAACTCTGATGTAGATCATATAATATGGTAACATTTTATGCTGGTTTAACGTGTATGAACTTAATCTTGAAGGTTATGGCAGAGAATTCCGGGAACGACTTTTGGGGCAATGGGGAATTGTGGACGTTAATGATTGTTGCAGCTGTGCTAAACATTTGGTAGTTAATTGGATCCTTTTTAATTTTTACTTTCTGATGAATGTGAAACCCTTTAAACACCAGAAAGGTAAACCATGCACGTTCCCATTTAGGTGGACAGTGGGAAGGCTGACCCAAAACGACTTTGTATAACTGGAGGTTCTGCTGGTGGTTACACAACCTTAGCTGCACTAGCTTTCAGAAATACATTCAAGGCTGGGGCTTCCCTGTATGGCGTGAGTATAGTAGCTATCCTCAGTTCTTCTTTGTTGTTTCATTATTTTGTTCATTCTCCTTGCTTTTTATTAATATTATATTTGGATACAAAATATAGAATATCATCTGCAAATCCACATACATGTAAAAATGATTCATAACTATAGGATTCATTATAAAGTGAACTATCAATAGAATTGATCAAGTGTATTTTAAATTTCATTAAGTTTGATAAAATTTGGAAATAAATTTGAGGAAAAGCAAGATTATTAAATGCATGTGATACTCTTGCTTTTGCTTTCTTGAATATAGAGTGATTCATTTGAGTTCCCTACAAAGTATTTTGGAACATCAGGATTATTTTAAACATCATATTTCGTTTAAAATGATGTCTTATTCATTTATTGACAAATGATGGAACTCTGTTCAATTCTTCCAAATTAAGCCTAGCTGTTATAGTGCTTTCTGACATAATGATGGGAATTGATATTGGAAACACTTTTCACTAAGCCAATAGGTTTATTGTTATATTGATTTATATGCAGGTAGCTGACCTAAGCTTGTTGGGAGCAGAGACACACAAATTTGAATCCTGCTACATTGATAACCTTGTTGGTAAGCTGGAAAACTCAGGATCCTACTCTCTTGGAATTTATTCTCACTCTATTTGGCAGTGAGGATATTTTTTGCTGATGCAGGAGGTGAAAAGGAATACCGTGAGAGAGCGCCAATAAATTTTGTTGATAAGTTTTCTTGCCCTATTATTTTATTCCAAGGATTGGAAGACAAGGTATGGACCTAGTTTTTTTTTCCTTAAATAAGATCAACAACTAGTAATTCTTTTAAGTCCACAACTATCAACAACTACTGATCTTTTGATGTCCTACTTTCTCAGAACGATTAGTAGACTTATAAGTTGCAAAAGTTCAATCTGATTTTTGAAAAATTCTCACGCTATTCATGAACTTAATTGTTTCCGTATAATCATTTTTTGGTCATTATATCGAGAGACTTGAAGCTAATAACTATGACTGTTATTTTGAACTATG